AAACGCCGAAATGGGACAACGGGTATTCTATTTCGGCCTGCGAGATACTCCAATCCGTAGGAAATTTCACCGACTCTCGAACACGATGTCAGAGACAAAAGCACTTGAGCCACGTTGAATTTAAATAAGATAATTTAATCGAGCGTGATAGTTTCATCTGAAATTGAGTTGAATCTGAAATTTCCACAAGTATAACAAACGATGGTTTCGATGTACAGAGCGATGGATAAAAGTAAATCGCGTCGAGGAGATTAAGAGATTGATTTCGCAACGGTAAAGAGAGACACGAACAAAACGATTATTTCAATTTGCTGCGAAAGTTGGAATGTCTCTTGTGTGGTGTATAAATCTGCGCCAGAAGTAATAGTATTTGCTGATTCTGTTAAGTAATTATTTTTCTTTGCTCCCTCTATCGTTTATTGTATATCCGACAGTAACAGGGTGATTGTTGATCGTCTCAAACGTCGCGGCAAAGGAATAGAAGTGGGGAGAGGGAGGGGGGGGGGGAGGGTGGCACGGCGACGATAGCACAGAAGCGGAAGAGGGCGAAGGAATTCTAGAATCCTGCAAGGGACGGCTAATTCCACCGTGATCACATCTGATCGATGTCCCTGGCTCGCCCTCGTCGAAAAGTTATTGTCCTTCGCGGCTTGTCAAACGTATCTTTAACGTGATACCTTCTGATGCCTTGTTCTTCGAAAGAATTATTTGTCGTTGATTTTATTATAATATTGCTTTTAAATTTTTGTAATATTGTTTTTATATTTTATATCTTAGAAGCGAGAACATATTTAGAATACTAAAGAATGTACTAGATTTATAAATAACAAATTAGACGCGTTATATCTTAAAACCAAATCTTTTAGAATTGAATCAGAATTTCCAATATTAGTGGAAAATAATTTTCAATCGTAACTTCGTTCGAACTACGATAAGTTAGGCGAGCATTACAATCTCGGAGCATAACAGAATAAAAATGTCATCAAGATTCGAAATCCTTTTTAGACGATTCGAGTTTGCGGAATCGCGTTTCTAGCGCTTCGGACAAAATATCCTCGCCGTTCCCGCGCGAGCGGACAGTTTCGTCGTCGCTGTGCCCCAGCCAGCATGATTCTTTTATTTTAGTTTCGGTCTTGTTCCTGGACACGGGCGTACTCAATTTGACCCTCCATCTCCGCCGCCCTTCTAGCGTCTATTTTCACCCGTTTCGGACGAGGTAGGAGAGCGAAGAAAGAGAAACAGCGAGAGAGCTCACGGCGGGGAGAGAGGATTGGCGGGGCCAGACAGAGGGTGGACAGAGAAACGACTAGAGCTCAAGCGGAGCAGGGAAAGTGGAAGAGTTACTAGACTAGGAGTGGACGAGACGGCCACATATGGCTAGCGATGGGTACGATATCCTCACGCGAGATAAAAATATTTTTCCGCTACACTCTGACCTTATAATCTGATATCTACAAAAAATATCATCTTTTTTCGGCATTAAATGTTTGTTATTTTTCTCATCCAAAGCGGATTTTATTACATAAATCTCGAATCATGATGTAATAAATTTCTATCAATCTGATACTGAAGAAAATACAGAAAAATATTTATACATATTATATGTTTGTATCAGAATTATGGAAATGGCATGAGTCAATCTTTATGTAATAATGGCACAAAATACACGAATTCTACGTGATTAGATGAGAGATATCGGTTTCGCCCCATCGCTACAAACGATTCGTCCATTCCCGCGGAACGTGGGATTGCAGAAGTTTGGTGCTCGTCCAAGAGATGACTATCCTCTAACTCCCTTCGGGCAGCTCGTCTTATCTTATCGCTCCGCCGATAGATAAGCGCTCGTCGATAAAGTTCGGCGGAGAAATGACGGCGCGATTCGCGTGGATGCAGTCGCCACTCCTTAATTAAGTTCGGACAGCCGTTTATTCGGTTTATTGTCTTGTTTGTCGTACCCCACGACGCGTTCGTGTCGGCGGATGCAACGTCATCGCGACAGAAAACGCATCGTCAACGCTCGCGTACTTCAATAACATGCTTCTCCAAGCGGAATTATTTTCGCCGAGATTCGAGAAATTTAAGAAAGCTGTGATTTTCGAGAGAAAAGTTTCTAAATCTCTGTTAATAAATCTTCTTTCTAAAAAAGGTAAATTTGTTATATAGAATTTTCAAATGCTATAGTCTTTCTGTTTGCAAATACTTCGCGAATAAGAAATTAGACATATTACAAATAAATGTTAAAAATCAAAGTTTGCATGGTAGGTTCTTAGATTGATATTGCGGTAGTTTCACTTCCGTCGTGACGGATTTCTTCCACAAATTTGAGCTGGCGTTATAGCGAGGACAAATTATGCGCATTACGAAAAGTGTCCTCGAAAGAACGGCGCGGGAGCCACGGCGACGAGCACGGGGAATGAAACGTCGGCACGGGAGCCGCGCCGCGGATGAGAGATGGGCCCATTGTGCCATCGTAAATACAAGGAAGCGACCCGTCCCAAAATAAGGGCATATTTCAGCTTCTGTCCGGCAATCACCGCTGCTCCGCGGCTTCACGGTCGTGCAGCTACGAATATGGACGTGGCAGCGCGGACGGAGGGCGAATGGTCAGGAGGGAAGGAGGGTCACGGTAGAAAGGACGAAGGGGGGACGATGAGGAGGACGGGCGCCGAGCGAAAAGGAGCAAGCGGGTGGACGAGGCGGAGGGATCTCTCGGCGAGGAAGAAACCCCATTTCGTATTCCTCGGGCATCCCTCTTGATCTCCCCGCATTTTTATTACACTTGCCGCCGGTAAGAATATGTTTTATTTATATTTCATATTTTTCCCTTTCTCTCTTTCTCTTTCCCCGTGCCGTGCTCCGTGATCCGCGGTCAGAAACGGTCCACTGTCGTGGATTCACACGGGGTGACCACGAAATATGAAGTCGAGATACGGAATCCCCTGCGCGTTTACGGAGAAAGAACTGCCTGCACGAATATCCCTGCTCGCCGTAGTTTCCCTTAGCACCCCTATTTTCGAAGGGATTGGGGTCGCTTTTAGCCCGGTGAAAATATTTTGGCAACGTTTCCGCGGAAGTATTTATGTCCGTCCGCGACGGCGAACTCATTTCTTTGCGTAGCTTTATTGGAATGTCGCATTAATGGAATTGCGCGCGTTGTTTTGACTATCTAAATGCACAACTGTTCGCTGAATATGTACATATTTACACATATACTTTATCTTTCCCAAGTTTTGCGAACACAAATAAATTACGAAAACAGAAGAGCAATAAATAAAAAAGATTTAATTGGTAATTTTTGAAACTGTCTCGTCGGCGTAAAAAAAGAAACGAGACATACGCGAGAAAAACACTGCATCCATGGATCAATCGCTCTTGTTTTTAACATCCGAATTTAATTTAGCGTCGTCTGATTGAGACGGAGGGTGTTACACGCAATTTGCCGCGATTTTGCCGTAATAACTCGGCGAACCCTTCGCCGTATTTTATGGGTATCACACTGAGTATGCATAACTCACGGTTCAGCGCATTGACTTTCGATATAGCGCGAATCATTCTCGAGTAGGAGAATTTATGGAATACGATAAGAAAACGCGATATTTCCGATATAATTATTTACACCGTGATTATTCACGTATTCCGAGTTTCTGTACTTCATTCGCAGATCGTGCGCAATGAGAAAAATATCTCGACGTATGCATCTCGCGGAATCATTAGCAGTGCGGAGAAAACATCGCTGTGGATGCTGCGTCTCTTTATCCACGACGTATGTCCCTATCTTACGCCGGCGCGATCGTTGAGATATCCATCATAACCGTGTGAAAGTGCAAGAAGTCGGTGGAATTGTCTGGTACGGCACGTGAGTTGAAAGTGAGCTTACGAATGAGCAATTTCGTGGCGTACGTGACGGAGCCCTTGATACCCCGTTTACGCTCTCGGTACGCACGCGGTCCGCGCACAAACCGCGTGGGAATTTTGGTTATAATTTGATAAGGATTCACGTTGCTGAAGCGAGGAAGCTCCAAGGGCAGAGTCGGTCACCTTTTTTATTCCACGCGCACGCACGCCTGCCGTGGGTTTTGATTTCGGCGTCGCTTTTGATAGGCACCGCTCTCGAAACTCGAGAAACATGTAAATCAGACATTTGATCCGTCTAAAATAATTCTTGTCGGGAGGATTCCTCCGAGCACTCGGTAATAAATCTTGCGGCTTTGTATGTCTTGCGCGGACAAACTTCTCAACAAATAATTATTGAAAAGAGCGGTTTTTTATCACTTTCGCGTATGTGTAACGAGTACAAATTACTTTCGCAGCTTAAAGATGGACGCCATAATTCAGAGAATAATCTCATATATCAATATATAAAAATAAATCACACAAGGAAAAATTATTTTCTCTTTTAATCGTCTCTTTTTAAGACGCATAGAACATATTAAATTCTACATGCATATTTTATTGCATCACGCTTCATCATGCTTTCTTACAATTGTTAACAGCAGTACTTACCCTTGCTACTGCTCATTTTGATTTCTCCGCAGCTTTCCACGATGCATGCCCTCGCAGTTTCCACGATGATTATATTCCCTGATTCTTAAGGCCCGAGAAGCACACAACACTTTGAGAAACACATTTGCCAAAGAAACTTGATAAAACTCGACAATAAACATTTCGATCCGAAAACGTTCCACTTTTTTGCGCGCCAAGTCATAGAATGAAAATTTTAAGACTTGTAATCACTTGTGATATTAGGCTGCGTTCGGCAAACTAAACATATAAGAGCCATCTATAATTACTCATCTGATTGGTGTATACTTTTGGATCTATCCAATCAGATCGATTAGTTATGAATCATTTACTTACTCACTTTATTTAATGCAGCTAATTTCATAGTTATTGTACTGCTGTTGTCTCTCTTCTCTTTCTCTCTCGAATTCTTGCCTATATATCTATCTCATTTTAAGTGCGGAAAGGCGCAGGTAGTACAGTTGCAAGGAATCACGTGATCCGTTCGCGCCGGTTTGTTTTGACAAGTCATAATACAGCTTTCGAAGAACGAATTTTACGACATGTCAAAGGGTGATTTTACGTTAACGGTAAGGAATAATTATCTACGACTTAGAGACAAGAAGGTGAGTGCATTATCATATGTCGTGACTAAAAACAGAGAAAACAGATAGATATATATCATGTGTACAGTGATATTGCATGTGATGTATTCCACAGGTGCAAATTAATGATTGAGATTTACATCGTTGTTGCTGTGATAGGAACGCTTATTTACGCATTGATTAAAGTCACGATCGACGAGTGGCTTAAAGATTTAAGGTAAGCATCAATAATGACAAAATCACGCGCGAACACTTTATAGGTTAGGTTAGGTTAGTTTTTCACTCTGTGAGAGTCAATATAAATGCAACTTGTTTGTTTGAAGCAATATTTCAAGGACTTCTTGCGTTGCTAAGATGCATCTTTAATAAACTTTTCAATTCTTATTTATATTTATTCAATTATCTTTATATTCTTTCAGTATGAGTCAACGTTGGAAGTTATCACTGAATAGAAATCGCTACAATGATACAAAGGTACATGTCATAAATGAGGATCCAGTGGAAATATCAGATGATGAGAGCTTTGATGATTTAAATATACCAAAAGAGAATGAAAATAATCCCACTAACAGTTTAAACAATGTGCCAGAATCTTTATGTACAGAGAGCAGCTTGAAATTCACGCATGACATATCAGATGATTCTAGTGATGATAAAGATTCAAATAATAAAGATGGCACAGTTAATAAAGTTTCCCTCCCTAATACTTATAGTAAAAGCCCATCATTGTTTAATTGGAATAAAACAAGCATGCCTGGAATGTCTTGGTATCAAAACAGTACTTTAGCTGAGACTGAGGCTACTACCTCACATAATTCAAGACATGTGGAGGAGATATTTGAAGAGACATCCAATAAGAGACAAAAGTTGATGATTGATGTGACAGAATCATCAAGTGATGATGATTTGGCAGTTTTAGACACTTTTAAGAAAGAAGCTTTGCCTCAAGTTGTAAAGCATTATGAAATAATGATTGCTGCAACTAAAGTCAAGTTTCCTGTCGAACCATATAAACCACAAAAAGCAGTGATGGACAAAGTAAATATCATGATTGCATAGTTAATTTTTTATTATTATTCCTCTGTTACAACTTTATTAATTCTGCGGATAATTGTATGTGCAGGTTATTAGGGGATGCAACAAGGAGGAGAACTGTATTTTAGAAAGCCCTACTGGTAGCGGTAAGACTTTGGCTCTTCTCTGTGGAGCTCTGGCATGGCAGGAGCAGTATAGTGGTGAGTTTATGACACATTGTTACATTGTACGTTGTTACATATTAGATATATATATAACAATCATTCGAAGAAAAAAATATTCACACTTGATTTATCGTGTCATTGTAATTTTTATACGCGCCATTACAATTTCTTTTAACCATTAACGAGATTATTATTACTAGTTTCATAATTAACGTTTATAAGATAATACGCGGACCCTCAATTAATGCGCACGTGATATTATGTTAAAAAAGAATCCACGTGTAAACTGAATGATGCATGTTCTCGCGCGATCCATCATCTGATATTCATTAATTTCCTACCAATCGTGCTCATGCAGCGCTTCCTGCGCCGCGATTATGTCTGTCTCTTAAGATTTATCGCGAGGCTTCGCGAAAATCTCGTTTCGTCGTCGTGCCGCGTCTCGTGACAGTCGGTCGTTAACGTCAACCATGCTTTTGTCTCGCTTGTACACGCATACGATGCGCGCCCATAGCGGCTGCTCTCATCAGATTTTTGACTGTCGTGCGAATTTTGGAAATTAGAAAGACCGAGTCGCCACCCATCGCGCTTGTCTCTCCTTTGTCTCGCGGGTATCGTTCTTATTAAAGTTTCCCGAAGTTCGTCGACATTTTACTTACCTTGTCAGAACTTTTAAAGTCTTCCGGATAATTTCTCAACGCGTGTCACCGCGATGTCAGGCGTTTGTCGCGTTCGCCAGACCGCCAGACCGATTAACCGCGGCCTTTATTTTACTTTAATGTTACCATTATATTTTCTAAAAGCATGCTGCAAAATTTTACACGAACAAGTTTGCGTACAGGTGTATGTATATTGAAAGCGTATTCTTGCTTTAAACAGTAAATTTATCCATCGTCATTTTGCGTTTAATCTATTAATATGAGCAAAATTAAATATCTCGCGGAAATTAATTTATGTGATTTTTTTCAATAAAAATGCATAAAAGTTAATGCAGCGTTTGTAAATCGTAAATATTACACATTTAATTCTCACACATAAATCATTGAAAATAAAATGATGGATTTGAATGCTATTTGAATTATTTCGCTGAAAGAAAACGCGAGTCTTTTCTCGTTTGACCTTTCGATCAGCGATTTCTTGGCTGCGATATTAATTTGAATTATTCAAATGCTTATGCGACTCGCAATTGACGGTAATTTGGACTTTGCACGCGTGCATGCAGCTAATTGTTCACGATTCGTATAATTCCTAAACAATTAGATTTGTCTTCGCAATGCGCAGCAAATCGGTCCGTCCTCGCTCGTACCAGTGTACGAAAAACAGCGGGACGACCGAATGTAATCGCCTTTCGTTAGGAAAACGCGACGAGAATATAATTTTGCCCAAATGCTGCGTCTGCTAGTCGCTTTTATGCATGTTATTTTGCCTCCAGTGAGCAGATCTTTGTGTCTGTTGCAAATATTTCCATGAAAATGTAGCTTGCAGAGCACGTATTTGACAAACAATTTTGCAACTTTGAATGTTTGTAAACAATTTTTAAATGTGCCAAATCGTGGTTTTACGCGAATTTTTACATCGCGCATATATGTTTTTTTTATTTAGGATGACATCAGCTTGCGATCGTAAAACTCGACGAAATTATCCGCCCTTTTGTGTAATTTCCTTGGTCTTAACGCCGCCTTATCTCAGATAGTCGTCTTGTCGTTCGCAATGTAGGATCTATTACCCATCAACAATCGATGACATTGCTTATCCCGGCAAATTTCGATGGAAACGCCCTTCCACTTTCTTTTCCCAAGAAAGCGGCTGAATTAGCTAGAATCGCAAATTCGATAGGGTGGTTTATCGTGCGATACGATCTTAATATTCCACTGGGAAACCGTGGCGAATGTCGACAAATCGAGGGACAATTGCGTAACATAATATGGAAGTGACATTTATTACTCATCGAGAAAACTGCTTTGCGGATTTAAATAATTGAGATGTGTTTGCGTTGCGTTATTTTTTCGATATTAACTCGATGTTGATAAAATATTATTTGATTTTATATCGCGTGATGTCTGATCAGATTTTGCAAGATATTGGGCAGATTTATCAGCATTTCGATATTGAGCTCTGTTCAGTCAGTCAGGTTAGTCGTAAAACGTTGGTTGAAGTGCACATCGCGACAATGAGGCCGGAACGTCGTGAGGTATTCGACGAGGCGAACGATCGCGTGCCATTTCGAGCTGCACGAGCGGCGAATTAAATGTTCCGCGATGTTAACGTCAAATTTGCGTGAGCAACGTCGGACTCGTTGCCTGCGCGAGGATGACAGGATGTCTCCGAGAATACATCGGAAGGACAGCACGAACCGTCGTCGCCTTTCGGAATTACGAACGGGTCCTCCCCGGGCTTCATCCTCGTTGTCGCGACGTCGCATTACAAACCGAAAATTATCACGAAAGTTCTTTCTCTGCGTGACGGTGCTTTTTACGAAGGCACGGTCGAAGCAATTTTGATATTCAATAAGCATCCCTTTGGTCGCATTGCCATCACTTTTTATCGCTATTGAGCAATATTAGACGCACGTGTATTCAGCAGCGGCATAGAATTCAAATCAATATATAGTCCGCTATGACACTGTCGAACGGATAAATATGCAATGAACTATAAGCAGAAGGAATATAAGAAGTATGGATTGATTGATTCTAATTTTAATTCGCGCACGATAAGGAATTATATGATTGCAGTAAATAATAGCGATCAAGATTTCTATATTTTTAAATATTTAAGAAATATTTCAAAAGTCGCGCTTTACGTATCACGCATTGCGCTAGATAAATCTTAGTGAAATATCACGCAGGTAATTATCCGTTATTTACGATCCGTTCTTAGTTCTTCGATGCGCATTCCTAATTAGGCAAATCAGAATAGAGCGACTCGATGGGGATTAGTCATGATACCGATTTGCGTGTGTGTGTGTATATATTATATGTATGTGTGTACGTGCGGCAGGGATACGTGCGTAGGTGTGTCGCTTTGCACGACATCCTGCTTTTCCCAGTTATAATTCGCTTTATGTTTTAAACCTGGCGCTGTCACGCTCCGCCGGAGGTCGAGTGGTACTGCTAGCCGCCAAACTGTAAACTTAGCTCGTTGAGAGAGCCGCATAAATTAGGTCCTCGAAAGGGAATAGAGAATTTTCTTTAGCGTCGCGGTTTAATCGATAACCGCCGTTGCCGTCGACAAATCGGGGATTCGCTTTGACATTCACATTATCTTTCCTTTAAAAAACGTAATTAATCCACGCGGGGGCACGGCTGAAGTTGAACGGACGTGTTCCGTGATATGATAATGAATATCCTATTTCTACGCTCTTGGGAAATAGATGAAAGTTACATTACACGGGCATTACATCTACTGTTAGGTGTTGATGGAAATGAAATGAGGATACTCGTGGACGCAGACCTGAGCTGCGCCGTAGCCACTTTGTTTAGCGAGTCGCATGCGACTCGCAGGCCGCATGTTTGACGTGCCACAGCGCCCGATTAGCTTGACGCAACATTCACCGGAGAATTCGAAAAACTTAAATCGTTCGTAGAAAGCAAGAGCGTGATGCGCTGCGTCGGTGGGAGGGGCGGGAGGGGACATCGAGAGGGCCGGACGAATAAATTTCGAAAGTTTATCGCGGAATCGCATGCCGGCTAATGTCACTTTATTACCGGTAGAAGACGACGCGGAGACAGGTTCGCCTGCAACGGGGAAGGGAGTGAGCGGATAAGTTCGAAATAACCGGCAGCGACGAGACCTATTGTGCGGCAGGAAACTTGGGAAGTCATAATAATTATCGGCGAACGCGGAATTATATATTGTGTTCCCGTGGCAGCCTGTCGTCGTCGTCGTCGTCGTCGTCGTCGTCGCCGTCGTCGCGAATCGTCTTTGCGCCTCAGCATGCAACTCCAACGGAATATGCAGCTACGTGCTCCCTGTGACGTCCTGACATTAATAATGCGCCGGGGATCCGCCTTTTATGCCCGGGGTACCAAGCGTGGTACCGTCGCCGAGGACTCTTCCCAGAAGGAGCTCGCCGATCGTGCCGTTTCGCTCTTGCACAATCGGCGAGAGAGGAGTTGCCCTGGGTGGTTTTTAAGGAGACAAGCTATATCGCGACTTCGTGTATCGGTATAATATAAATTTCGCTTAATTACGCGATTACCATAAGCGCTTGTTAGAAATTTCGCCGTGATTCACGATCAACGATTGACGAGATCGTGCTATTTTGCTATTTTTCATTCACCGTGACATCGTATTTCACCACTGCCAATTTTATCTTTCAATGCTTTTCCGTAATTTTCGCGTCCGTCGGTGTATAAAGTAATGACACTCTTTGCGCGCGTGGTGGCCTTCAAATTTTATTTCCAAGCATCGCGGCTCTCTAACGTCCGCTCTTTCACGCTCTTCCCGCGACTCGCGAGACGCGAGAAAAAGAAAGGGAAAAAGATAGAAACCTGGAACGGTAGCCCCGGAATGGTGCAGGGCTACCCGCAGTGCACGCTACTTGCTGTGGCAGCTTCGCGAGCGAAAGACAAAGGAGGGCCCACGCTTTCATCCGTGCCGACATTAAGGTACCTACTGTATATGCCCTTTCGGGACACAATAAGGTCCGCATGCGGGTCCAACGGATCTCACGTCTCCCGTGTACACGTATACCCTGCTCACAATGAGAATCTTCCTCCCCCTTCGCCCCCCTTCGCGCCGTTTTATCCCACCGCTGCGGCCCTCCTACTCCTTCGACGACTATGCACTTCGTCCTCAGAATTCCGGGGCAACGAATTATCGAAGCGCCAGCACGGCGAAGATATTCTACGAGCCGTAAAGCATTCGGCTCGCGTTATCCACAAGCGCGATAGCAAACCCGCGACGTTCGGCGGAATTGATTTCGCGGCTAATGAGCTCCGATTATTTATGAACCGTCGGCCGCTCGGCGTCGCGTTCCCATGCAAAAGAACCGCTTTCGCTGTTTACGAAAAGAAGTATGTCGTTTCGCGTCGTTG